ATTGGAATGAGATGAGTTGGATTCCGATCACGAGGTCCCTACCCTCTTTTTATATAGGCATTGGTGGTAGGGTTACAATGAGGGCGATTGGGCTAACAGTTTGGATTCCTAGTTTGTTACATGGAATGCACAACAAATAGATCCTAACTACCGTCCAGATACGCCTATCTTGGATGTTCTTGGCTTGCCTTGGTCTTCACGTTGATCAACCACCTCGACCCTCGCGGGCCTCCTCCTTGATGGCTCCTGGGCTATAGCTTGGATATAGTTTAGCTCTTCTCCTCCTCCTCCTCCTTCTCCTCCTTCTCCTTCTTCTCCTCCTTCTCCTCCTCCTCCTCCTCCTCCTCCTTCTTCTTCTCCTCCTCCTCCTCCACGATGGTTGGTGAATGCTTTGGTGAGTCAAAGTGTGCTTAATATATGGCCTATATATGTCCATCCTGCCTCCATGCTGACATGTTGGAATATGTAAATTTCCTTGTCAAATGTTGTATGCCATAATATTTCTTGTAGGAAATTGCATGTGTATAGTCCTAAATGATTATGTAATGGGAATGGGATGCATCCGGAGCGCCCCATTGGTGCATGCATGCATCCGGAGGTATATAGTCAATGGAGCATGCATCCATAACTAACTCAGCCTCCCTTGTCGGTGCATGCATCTAGAGCACCCATCAAGCAAAGATAGGGAGCCACCGGATAGTCCGCTAGAGCTACTGGACCGTCCGACAGATTGCAGAACAATGAAGGTAAGTGGAAAATGAGCTGTTTTTCATTTGCATTGCTTGGACCCACTTGTCAGCACGAGTTGGAACCCTTCATCGGCTGAAGCCACTCCACTTCACCCCCACTCTCACTCACTCATTCATTTGCTTCACACCCCTCCATCTGTCTCTACACTCAAGAATAAGGATGAACCCAAGAACTAGAGAGAGAAAGGATTGGAGAATGGATTGGAGAAGGAATAGGAGAAGAAGAAGAGAAGCACCAGCATCATCTGATGGACTTCTTCAACATCTTCAACTTCATCTATGGTTAGCTCAAGAGAAGTATCTCTCATTTTTTAGATTTTTTCTCCAAAGACCTAATTTGTGGTTTTTGGTGCAAGATTGAAGATTTCTTGCTGGTGGTGGTTCTATCATATGTAGAGTAAGTTCAAGAGATCTTCACCTAGCTCAATCACCCATGCATCCCTTGGATTTCTTTTAATTCTTCTTCTTGGACCCTAACTGAACCAAACCTGAACTAAGTAACCCTTGAGTCCAATCCAGCAGAGTCTCCGCCGCATACAGGGGAGAGTCCATCATGATGATAGAGGATGTCATGTTGATTAGAAACTTACCCAAGAGGTCAACAATACTAATACTAACTAGGTAATAAATAGTTCAATAGTAGAGCCAAGTTTGGATGCCTCTTCCCATGTTCCAAATCAAAGTCTCAATCTTTATCTCCATCTCCCTATCAATTATCTCCAATTCCGTTTATCATCTCTCTTAGGACTCTTTATGGACATGAGGAATGTGTATAAGTCATCATTGTCAGCTTCGATTATTTGAACGGCATGACCAGGCAGGCACCCCACTATTAGGAACCCTATTTGTTTCATTATGAGTTTGCATTTCATGATTAAGAACCAATCATAAGTTGAATTATAATCTTGATGATCAATCGAAAATCTCTATTCATGCGACGGGTATGGTCACGGTGGGTGTTGGATCCCAGGTGATGTAACTCGTGGAGTAATTAAGGATTGTTCATTGGGGTAGTGAGTCCGAGTAACCACAAGTACATACCACATGTCGCAAATGGGGGCGACAAGCCAAGTAACTAATTGCGACTTGCCTATCCGTGAAACTGACACGAGGGTGGCGTCGGGTAGATGATGGTAGCATTACCCGGGAACTTATCAATGCTTTTGTGGATATTCGGCCTAGATTAGGGAAAGGTTAGAGACGTGAGGCAACCCTTACCCTTGCGCATGGGTATGGTGGTTAGTCTCGTTCTTCTGTGTGGGTACAGTTGTACACCTCTACAGAGTTCACTTGAAAGCCTAAAGTCCCTCGAGACGGAACCTTCGGTTGTTCTTACTTCTATACCCATTGTAGAGAGAATGTGGAATTAATGATGAGTTGGATTATATTGTAATCACTTAAACTTTATGGATTTATTATTACCATGCATAGAGTTACCGTGACTAGATAAATTAAATCCAATTCATGAGCATGTCATTCTTTAATAAACGCCATCACTTTTCTGCAAATATACAAATGTCTGATAAATCCCTGCATCCACCAAATATTCTATGTTGGAATTAAGCCCTGCGAGTATGCAATGTACTCACGGTGCTGCCGTTAAGTTGTTTTGCTGGTATCTTCGATTTGGTTGACCTGAGCCAAGCTCACTCCGCCGATGATTAGTAGACCTTGGAATGGGTGATTCCAGGATGAGCTGTATGTTAACCCTGATAATTACTTTTAGTGAGATTAAAATGGAGATGAACCGTACAAGGTTAATTAAGAAACATTTGTGTACCATTATCCCGTTGTTATTTGTTATCAAGTAAAGTTGATTAGTTAACTCAAATTCCCTAGTGTGATGGCATAATATTTGTGTTACATGTTGGTATGCCATTTGGATGGTTTTGTGGAACTCGACCGTTAAAATGATCTTGAAGAGGAGATGTAGATAACATTCTCCTGAGGGGCCTCATGTCGGTTGGGATTGGCGCGGGTTGGTCAAGGGGGTGACACCTGTGTTAGTCTGACAGGTGCGGGATCACCTCCCTCACAGCTAGCATCTCTTGCACATGTTCTACTATGACTATGGTTGCCAGAAGCATACCTTTCATACTCAGTTGAGATTTGGTACTCTTTGTCTATTTCGGTGATGGCCCTATTCACTTTGGTGTAGCTGATAGAACTTTGTTTAGGATCCTTCCCCAAGCATGGGCACTAAGTCCCAAGGGTGCCAAGCACCAGCCAAGGCCGACCACTACTTCCTTTTATAGCCCCAAGAGCTAAACTAGTCGTTTGGCAAAAACTGCTCATTCTACGTGTAGTGTTGGACCGTCCCACGCGTAGCGTCGGACCATTTTGTTAGGGTCCGATGGTCTTAGATCACGCCACATGTACTAGCCGTTTGAAGGCGACCGTTGGTGTCCAACGGCTAAATCGCATGCGCCCTCTATGCGTACGGTCCGGCACCCGTCAGATCATCCACGCGTACAGTCCGATGTCCAACAGAGAGCATCTAGAGAGCTCCAGATCAGTCGGACCAGGTCCTAGCATTGCTTCAGACCATTAAATTTAGGATCCGACGCTCAACAGAACGTGTCCAGAAAGGTCCAGACCGGTCTGAACAGGTCCTACGCATAGCGTCAGACCATTACGCGTAGGGTCTGATGCTCCTCTGTCTATGCATGGCGTCGGACCGACCTACGTGTAGCGTCGGATCATCTACGCGTGGGGTTAGACGCCTACAGAAAACACCTCCTTGCTTCTTTCTTTCTACCCTTTGCAAATATGCCAACACTACCAAGTGTAACACCACCTTATGCACATGTGTTAGCTTTTCACAAACATTTTTCAAAGGATTTTCACGTGCTTTTTCCACGCCACTCGATCCTAGCATTGCATGCAAAGTTAGAACACTCAAGTTGCACTAGATGACCAATATGCAAACAAGTTTACCCCTCTTGATCGTACGACCATCTATCCTAAACTTGGTCATGCACTTCTCTACACAACCTTTGACTAGTGAAATGAAATGTCCTACAAGATATACCTTTGCCTTGCGCATTCCATTTCCTCCAATGTTGATGCCACACAAGCACTAACCTCCATAAACAAATGATATGATCCAATTCATTTCATCATGTGACCTTTGGTTCATCGATCTCAACATCATTTGCTCTTCACTGTTGCCCTTCCATCGGTGCCAAGTCCTTGCTCAAGCTTCTCCGGTGCAGTGCGTCGCTCCAAAGCCTCCGACTAGCCCTTCACACTTGCAACCGGTCCATCAGGCCAAGCCTTGTCTTGATCTTCTTCACCTAGCCACATGACTCCATGTCATGTGTCACATGCAATAAGCTCCTTCATCACATGTGTGAGCATTTCAACATATCCAAGCCATTTCTACCTCTATGGCATAGGTTGCTCACACTAGTGTATCTGTGGACTAATCACCTGTGTATCTCGATATAAACACATATTAGTTCACCTAGGTTGTCACTCAATTACCAAAACCAAACAAGGACCTTTCAGCACCTCAATTTTGTTTCGTCCCTTCCAGATCCGGTGGACAGCGTCGGCGGCACCAGTGGGGCAGATACAGCTCTCCCCATCTCCCTCCCTCTCTCTCTCTCCACCTCTTCATCTCGATCCCTCACTCTTCCCACATCGGCGGCGGCGAGCGCAGGGGGGCCACATCCGGCAACAGCAACGTCGCCGGGGGCGGATCTGGCTACGGCGTGCCGAGATCTCTGGTGAGCATGCTGGTGAGCTTTTTTTATTTTTCTGAAATCATTTACGTAGACGGACAAAAATGCCCGTCTCGGTTAACCCCATTTATGCTGACAGGCTTTTTTGCCACCTGACGATTTGAACGAGGCGGACATATGCCCACCTGGGAAAACCTATTTTGACCGCCTGGGAAAAGAATTGTGGATATAGTAGTGTTGCTCAGCATGATAGCCAGATGGAATAATACTTTCTCATACCCTATCAGGAACCTCCAGCTACTACAATCTGTCCAACACAAGAAACTTCATCTTTCAAATCGTGCGCCATAAACAAATTAAAATTAATCACCTTCACGCAATCGTGCATTTCTCATTTCATTTTTTTTTTAAAAAAAACATGACAACTCGATCGGACCGACCTCCTATAAGATGCCACCTGATCACTCATCAGGTTCATCGTCACAGCCAGCCAGCTTCCGCTTCTCACCTCACGCGCGCTAGCTGCACACCCAAGCCAAGCATCACACCGCCGGCAGCGGCAGGCATGGAGAAGAAGCGGGTGGTCATCGTCGGAGCAGGCGTCAGCGGCCTCACGGTGTGCAAGCACCTCCTGGAGCTCGGCTGCCAGCCGACCGTCTTCGAGGCCGACACCATGCTCGGCGGCGTGTGGGCGCGCGCCATGGCCAGCACCAAGCTCCAGACGCCGCGGTCCATGTACCAGTACTCCGACTTCCCGTGGCCGGAGAGCGTGACGGAGGAGTTCCCGAGCCACCGCCAGGTGGCGGCGTACCTCGACGCGTACGCGCGCCACTTCGGCAAGCTCAGCTGCGTCCGCTTCGGCCACCGGGTGGTCGGCATGGAGTAGCACGGCGTCGGCGAGCAGGCCATGGCCGCGTGGGAGGAGTGGGCTGGGAACGGCCAGGCGTTCGGCTCCGGCGCCGGCGAGTGGCGGCTGTCGGTGGCCGACGCCGACGGCCACGTGGAGGTGAGCTAGCATGCATTCGTGTTGTGCCCGAGATACAAATGACGCAGCTCCGTACTCTTTTTTTTTCGCTAAAATATATGTACATGCGGTACACTATCAAACAATAAAAAAATTGACATGGTCAAAACTCAAAAGGATGAACCGAGCTAGATAACAAGAAAAGCAACATAACTATATTTTACTCACATTTATATTTTGAAGGAAAAGTATTTCTATAAATAATCACTACGTCAAAAAGCATTTCTAGGGGCGGTTGTAGACCATTTGTAGGGGCGGTTTACCCAGCCGCCCCTACGCAAGGGTCTCTATAAATCATGCATTTGTAGGGGCGGTTCCCAGGCCGTCCCTACAAATCTATTTGTAGGGGCGGCTCTTATTACCAGCCGTCCCTACAAATCAATTTGTAGGGGCGGCTAGAAACACCAGCCGCCCCTACAAATCGATTTGTAGGGGCGGCTGTAGTAACAGCCGACCCTACAGTACGTTTTCCCGCAAAAAAAAAAAATCAAATTTTCAATTCAAAATCGCTTTGCCGAACGTCCCACAACCAACGTTCCGAACCGCGTTCGCGTTGCCGAACGCCCCGTGACCAGCGTTCGCGTTGCCGAACACCCCGCGACCGCGACTACAAATATAAGAGTATTCTATAAACTATAATTACAAGTCCAATTCACATGAATATATACAATCCATCATTAAATAAACAAACTCCACACACATTGTTATCAACGTCCTAGAGCTAGCCTTTCTGTCTCACGAAGGTGTTGGTACTGAGGATTTGTACCTAACTCAGACTCTCGGTCATGGTAGGCGCCTCTGACGTGTACAATCTGGTTCAATATGAAGTTGCAAAGGTCGCCGACGAGCTCTAAGAGTTGATCATCCTTGTATGGGTTTCTTTTCATTCCTTTCTCTTCTCTCCACTACAAGAAAACAAGTTTCAGTTTAGTATTTCATACCATTTACGAAGTTTTTATACTATGGGTGAAGAGGTTCAAACTTACCCTTAAAGGGTGTCTCCTGTAGGCACCGGTGTTACCCATGATAGAACATATATAGTATCCACAATGTACGCTCTCAGGCTTCTGCTTGGGGCACTGTGTGTTTTGCATATGAAAATGTTTAGTAATGCTTTTGACAACCATATAACGGAGTACTGAAGAAGTAAGTTACACTTACCGCACATAGTGTTTTTATAGACAGCTTTTCCTTCCTTGCTGGATCATGCATTCCATGATGATTAGTGACATAGAACCTAAATGCCCTGTTCAAATTATTTTAGCAAATACAACTTGTTAGTATCCAAAAGTGAACGTTACAAGTGTGTATACAAACATATAAGCTAATGAGGATTGTCGATATGTATACGTCTTGAGAATCGATATGAAGTCTTTGTATGTCACCGTGTCCTTATCTAATGAATCAAAGACCCATGCCATGCTCCTCCCGACATCGACGGCTATACAAATCCAGTGGTTGCTGCATGGATTTAATCATAGAACTAGATAAGCCCTTTTGCATCGAATGAAATATATCGAACAAAGCTTTAAGTATAGAGTTGAGCTTACTCGAAGTTGTATGGTAGCCATATAGTAGAGTGGTGTTGGAGATTTTTGAAAGCCAAGGCAATGTATGCCGCAACTTTAAGGGACTCTTCCCTTAGCTTCGCACTACGGATGCGCTCTTTCTCCCGAAGAGTCTTTGCAGCTGCTAGCTCTTTGGCATCCAGTGTCCACCGTTTAGGGTAATTAAAATTTGTTTGGGCTATAGCTTGAGGGTCTACATACCCGGCTTTCACACTTGGCATTTGTTTGACAATGTGCACTTGCATTCTACAAATCACGGCGTGGGTTAGTTACAACATAATTCAAAGATTACATTCATATCATATCGGGAGGACAAGGACTTACAGGCACCATGTGCGAATTAGATTCATCTCCATTTCTCCCAGGTGAAAGCATGTGTGCATGTCATTGAAGTCAAAGACAATTTTCCCGGCTGGGCTTCCAAATGTGCCGGTGGGAAAGCATGTTTGTATGATATCTATGCTCGTTGGGAGAACACGCAAGTACCAATCATGGAACCTTCTCATTCCAAGTGGTAGGCGCTGGATGTCCCGGTTTGGTAGGAAGGGCTTGCCTCTTTCATATTTTTTCGGGCAATCCTTTGACCATTCGATGGCATCAACATTTGGATACTGCTTTGCAATTTGGTGGAGTTTGCTACTGACGGCCTCCTCAGAACCCCGTGATGGGACTTTTTAACTTGGTTTTCAGGCTTGAACTGATCATGGGAATACCACTTGGACACCGACGAGACGTCTTTGATCGGAACATAAACTGGCCTTATGTTGATTGGAATCTTCTTTCGAAGTTCCCATTCAGGCACGTCCTCATCTTCTTGTGCATCACCTTCTTCAGGAGGCACTCGTTGTTCATGTATCAGTTGTGCTTGTTGAGAAGACTGTGGCATCTCATGCTGCACTTGCCCGGTACGAGCTGGAGAAGGTTGTGGCATCTTATCAGGCACATGCTCGATAGGAGACGGGGAAGAATGTGGCATCTCAGGAATGTGGGGGTCACAAGACGGTGAAAATATCTCCCCGGCCTCAACAACTCGCTCCAAATTTGGAAGAGGGGGAGGCGACGAAGAAGCAGTCAATATAATGTCCTGTTTGTGCTAGAGGATGAACTGCCCCATAACATCTCCGAGTAACACCAGCCCTCGGGAGTTGCATAGTCTATCCTCCACTGCATGAACTCGGGCTTCACTGTATGCACCTCGACCCTAGTGTATTCCGACGGTATCTTATTATTGTGGTGTAAGCCACCGGGAGGATGTGCCACACCCGTTGCCACCTCCATCAAAGTGTTATGCCGGCCACTGAGAAACACCAAGGTGCAACTAGTAGGTTCCCGTATGAGATCGACTGGGGTTGTGGCTGCAGTGGAACCTTGGCTGCTAGGAACTTTCGGAGGGCTGCCAACTAATGCCAGTTCTCCCGGTGGCGTCACTAATATACATGGCTCCGTAGGCATTCCTTGCTCCTCCAGTGCCTTCGCAACTAGAGCCTTCACTTGGAGCTCGAGACTAGTCTCCCGGTCTCGGCCATGTTTCTTGTACATGTGCCTGTCCTCTTCGAATCCTTGCTTCCAGGTCATCCTTTTCCCTAGCCCCCTGGTGCGGCCTGTGTGCTCCTTGTTTCCCAAGCCAAGGCTAAGCTCATCCCTCTCTCTGGAAGGATTGAATGAGCCCATCTCTTTGTCTTCAGCATATTTTAGTATCCTTGATACCGCCTCTTGGGTCTCTGGCTTATCAAACTTAAGATTACTGCCGGATGGTTCTGTACTCCTCGCATATATCCAGTTCCTTGAGCGTACCTTCAAGTTCATCACATCGATATTCCCAGCAGCTGTGGCCTCTTCATCTATCTTCCTAAATTGCTCTTCCTTGGCATAGTAGCCACCGGGGCCTAGATGATGGTGGTGTTTGTTCCTCTTCTCCAGCTCGGTGTTACGGGCACTGAGCTCCAATGCCTCCGCTGAAGTCTTCTGAGCCACGAGCTCCTCCCATTGACTAGGAGTTATTTTGTCAAACTCGTTGAAGGGAGTTAACCCCTTTTGGATATACTTCGTGTTGAGCTCTGACCTCCAACGTTGAAATGACTCTCCCATCATCCTGATAGCATTTTTTTACCAATTCGTGCTCACCCTCCGGAAATCTAAAATTGACCTTCAGATGCCTATCCCATAGTGCATTCTTTATGTTCTCTGGTACCTCTTTCCAGTTAGGGATTGCTGGGTTCAATTTATCTCTTACTAGGGCCCGATCGCATTACGGAATCGTCCTTTTAATTCCTTCGGCTCAAGGATCTCCCCTCCTGGCCCAACCTCCGTTATCACATAGCAAGCCTTATCTGGATATAGATTTCCTTTTCTATCCCCTCGTTTCCTCTTAGGCTTGGTAGTCATGGTTGTGTCTTGAGTTTGTGGAGCAGAGCCATCGTGATCCGTCTCTGTGGTTGTTGCCTCTGCTCTCCTTTCCTCTACTCCGTCTTGTCCAGCGAGATGTCGCGGACGTCGACGTCGTCTTTTCTGAGTTTCAGGAGGGACCTATATATAGGACAGGTCAAAGTGTTAGCTGAGGTAACACAGCCAAAGCTTTAGCAAAATTTACATGCTAAGGCTTCTTCCCTACCTCCTCGTTCGGGTCAAAATCCTTGTCCAAATCTTCCTCTGTTGGCCTCCTTCTTGCTTCAGGTGGGAAAGGATCCTCGGGACTTTCATATCCCTCTTTTGACTCATCATCCTATTCTTCTTCGCCTTCAGCAGCCTCTCCTTCGGGGCCTTCCTCCTCATCACACTCCTCCTGAGTAAGCATTACTTCTAGATCCTTTTCTACCTCGTTATCGAACTATTCCTGAGTAAGCTGGTCCTCTAGTGCTTGCTCCTCAAGGGTTGGCTGCTCATCATGCTCGGGGCATCGAGCTGCACTGTCTGTTGTCCATGACATTATTTCGCGCTTTGTTCTAAAAGATGCAAGAAAGTGTGCTTTAGGTACGCGAGAAGGTATAAGAAATCAAAAAGGTCTATAAACCAAAGTAGTCCTATAAAACAACAATATAAAAAACGAGAAGTAGCAGTGGTAGAGGCCTCAGAAATATGTCAATCATCATCTGATCTTGAACTTGGAGCATCAAGGCATCATAACAGAGAAGAGAGGAGAAGGTAATGTAGGGGCGGCTGCTAATGATGCCAAGTTCCTCACAAGTTCTTGATCATCAGCTCATATTCCATATAATGTATGGACTTGGACAATTTCATCATCGGCAAAACAAAGGAGAGGAGAGGAGAGGGGAGATTTGGCAAAAAAAAGCAACA